ACTCTACGTACTGAGGGTTTGTGCAGACCTTTTCCCCGTGTTTTCGGATGTTTGTGATGGTTTCATCGTCGCCGCTATCTAGGTCAGATGTTGGTTGGGACACATCAAACCATTTGGTCCAGGAACATTCAGGTTGGCAAATGGTGTGTTCAGTGCCCTGGGATGTCATGGATATTGAGACAGTGGGTGTCGTTACTCCATGCGATGTGGTAATGGGCGTTGGTGATGACATGCCACATGGTGCGTATATGCAGCATAAAAACTTGATCTGGTAATTGTAGCAGATTGGTGGTGTTTGATCTTTGTTATTGCATATTAATCCACTGCTTTTGGTACACTGTATATTTTGTTTCAGGTATTCTACTTTTATGTTGGGGAATCGTTCAGCTCTGCATTCTACTTCCTCTGGAAGTTTACATACATTGTGTCCCTTGGCTCTAATATTATCCGGTGTTTCATAATCTCCGTTGTTTTCTCCAAATGTTGGATAGTTGAGATCATACCATTCTGACCATTCACATACTTTATGGACACATGCTGTTGTTCCTGGTGGTGTTGGTTCTGTATTAAATAATAAGTTTGGTTTAGTTTTTTCAATCGTCATATTTACGCTTTTTTGTAAAAAAAATTTACTCTGTTTTTAAAAAATTAGTCTTTCTGATTTTATGCATTGTTATAGATGGTAATGACAATGTTTTCATATATTTATGAGAAACTATTCCAGCTGCATTATGTATGTAATCACAACACTATTTTTGTATTTGAGGATCAAGCTAATAACATCTCTAGCTTTTCAATGATTTACATATGATGAGTGGAGTTTTATCTCTTTTCCTGCACTCCATTTTTCTCTCCCCATAGGTTCTCTTGAAGCTGGTAGGTTGGGAAACATAGAGGCAGTGTTCCTTCTAAGGATGAGTTAGTGTAAGCTAGTTTACAGTTTCTTAGCCTCTGACTCACACATTTTTGTCTTAGCTCAGGAAGGATACCTCCAGAGCAAACTAATTGATGCAGGAGCCAAATCGCTCACTCACAACTTTAATGCCAGTCGCTCTCTAGGTAGAATTTTTGCTCACAATACTCCACGGCTTAGAGGGAGCACTGGAGCCAACATATTGATTATCTAATTTTATCAGCCAATGGTGATGCAGCATCTCTGGGGAGAGTTTGAGTTAGAGAAAACGGTGCAGGGTGAAGAGACAACTTTTCAGTTCTGCTTTGCAATCCTAGTCTGAATTTCAGCCTCTCACAGAATGGCTAGTGTTTACCTATGATCCCAAAAGGGTTCTTCTAGCATCTTACTTAATTTAAGTCTCAGTTGGTAATGGCCTCTCAGCTTATGGTATTTCTGAATTATTTGTAATTTAATGCATTACATAATAAACCTATGCCGTTAACTTGTAAGTTTCACTCACTCATGAGAAAGTTTCAGATATTTTAAAATGCTGCATGTTTATTTTGTTGCTATTATTTGGCATCAGCTGTTCCAGCAAGTAGGACACGGGCAAGTTCAACCACGATTTGTCCTTTCATCCAAACGAATGTATGGTGGTTTGTGTGTTGTCATGAAACCAGAATCTCAAGGAGTGTTTCCAGGTTGATTTTAAGAACAGTTTTGCAAAACGGAGAAACCATCTATTTGTACCATAGCAACTTGCTGCAGGAACGTGCTGATCTCCTGTGCACCGATAACTCTGGCTATTTGCCACCTGTTGACAGGCTGAGGAATCAGAGATGCCGGGATCTGGCAACTAGGCACAAGGAGGCACGCTTGCAGCGGTTGGCGATCATTAAGGCCAGATTACTAACAGAATCAAGGACTTTGCGAAGCCGTGCTAATGAGATAACGACCCAGCACGCTATTTGAACAGACCGCTGGCTGCTAGCAAACTGTGCTGGCAAACTTGTCAGTTGGACCAGAAGCTCTGCACCTCTGACTCTGTTTGGCTCTTGACTGATTTTCCCGGTTCCTGACTCCAGTCCGCATTTTGACAACCCCCTCTGGCTCTTGATCCTTGGCTATGCTTCCTGACTACGATACTGGCTTTTTTTTGTTCTTCTTTTTGTGAACACTACGGCTTGGCTTTGTGTGCTTGGGACTTTTGCTCGGACTCTCTTGATCTCTCTGGCTTGACTCTTGGACTGGACTGTAAACTCTCCCTCTCTGCCTTGCCCCACTGGCCCTGTCGTGACACCTAGTTATCAGGTGAGATAAAGGACCCATAGAGCCCCACCTGGCAGTACACAACTGACGACTCTACGCATGTTGCTGGAGAGACACAGATTGAGCTTTAGCTGGCATTGCTGATCCCTGCGTGACTACCTGGGTGACTCTAGACCACCAGCCTCATCCATAGGCACGAATGTTCTACAGAGGTTTGCTGCTTCTGCCGTTTCTGCTACAGCGTTTATTGTGGACCTTTTATGGTAGTAATTACATCGTTCTGTAGATGTTTCCTTTTAATTTGACTAGTTCCAGGGCTTTTTTTGGTAGAAAAAGCCCAGCAGGAGCTCGTCAGCATAATAGGCCTCACCCAATAGCAGAAACTCATTAGCATATCACACCACACTCTGACAGCATGGCTTATTAGCATGTTAGGCCACACCCCATGCCTTCCCTTGGCTTGCCCCCCCCTTGAAGGGAAGGCTGTGGCTGTGGGGAGCCTGGGCAAGCTGGCCCTCGGAAATGCCGGGGAAGGCATGGGGAGGCATCTAAATGCCTCCCCGATCCTTCCAGGGGGCCCCCTGGCCCGCCCACCTCGGAGCCCCCTCCAGGCCTTCCCTTTGTAGCCAGGCACGTAGAGGTTTTGGCTGTAGTGGGCATGGCCAACTCTGAAGCCAGCTGGAACTCCATTCCTGCACGTTCCTGCCCCATAAATAGCCCGGACTAGTTCCATACAGGTGAAATAACTGATGAGCATGGCATTTCCCCCCCAAAGAGCTTTTAATTTGGGGGAATTCTGTACAAGAAGCACCCTGCCACTCATTGACAGCTTGGGAGGGGAAAAAAGGCCCTGGACAATGGCTCTGCTCCCTGGCCTTACCGACCTTACCCTCACAAAGGAGGGAAGGAAGGAAGGAGGGAGGGAGAAAGCAGCAGCTGGCACCTCTTGCAGCTCTGCCGGGCCCCGGTGCATTTGTCTGCATGCCCTGCTCAGCTCTGCTTGAGTGACTGTATCGGCACACATCTCATCTGGTCCCCGGATCATCTTCCCCAAACTACACATGGCTCACCTAGGCTGGTTACTGCCTCACCTGGGCTAGGGCACCTATGGCTCACTCAGGCCAGGGTGCTGCCTTCCCCAGACTGTAAACAGGCTGGCCTACGTCAGGGCAGAGCATTCCCTGGGCTGTGCAAAGCTCACTTGAGCCATGCACTGTCTTCCACGGGCCATGTGCTGGCTACGCACAGTTTGCCTGGGCTGGGCACCACCTTTTCCAGGCCACACATAGCTCCTCTAGCCTGGGCTGGACCAGTTCAAGTGTGTCTGTGTGTGGGGGGGGAGCAGATCATAGGTTCATGGGGAAATTCTCTGATGGCTATAATGGCCAGTCCACACATATTGCCAATTGATGGCTTCGTATCACCTGTCAAAGACCACCTAACAAATGGCACGATCACCTGAAATCAGAATTCCCTTGTACTAACTGGGCAACTATAATACGACATCCTCACAGTGCCTTAGATCTCTGATCTCCTCAAAGCCCTAAAGGACAGCATCTCAGAGGGTGTTGGGGGGCAACCTCATCAATGGCTCCAGAGAGATGGAGATTCCAGTCCTCTATCAGCTCATCTAATGAGGCACTGGAAGGCATCGGATCCCGCAGAGCATTATGGAAACCAACTGGATCCATTTGTCTCTGCAGGCAAACATAAATTAGCTCGCCGCCTAGATGAGGAGGGGTAGGAACACCCAGCTGGGCCTTCAAAACCAAGTGGTCAGACCATGGCACTTCCTCCCTTGAAGTCAGATCCACATCTATCCCCATACCAAAAAATCAAATCCAACATGTGGCCCACTTAAGAGCCAGTTTGGCGTAGTGGTTAAGGGCGCGGACTCTAATCTGGGAGAACCGGGTTTTCATTCCCCACTCCTCCACTTGCACCTGGCTGGATGACCTTGGGAAAGCTGTAGTTCTGATAAGAGCTGTTCTTGAAAAAGAGCAGTTTCTGTCAAGAGCTCTCTCAGCCCCACCTACCTCCCAGGGTGTCTGTTGTGGGGAGGGGAAGGGAAAGGAGTTTGTAAGCTGCTCTGAGACACCTTTGGGTTGTGAAGGATGGGGTGTAAATCCAATCTCCTCCTCCTCCACTTGGTGTGTGGGACCTGATACAAATTGGGTTCGTCCCAGTGCTGCCATGGAAGACACCAGATCTGAAGCCTGAGTGGAGGTTGCAGCCTCATCGACGTGGACAATTGAAGTCCCCAAGATTTAAAATTTTGGGGAATTCCAAGGTGCACCCAGCTACAGCCTCCAAGAGGCCCAGCAGGCTGTTGGCTGGTGCACTAGGCAGTCGGTACACTAGGCAGACAGCTAAGGTAACCTCCCTGTCCCACACAAGGCCGACACAATCAATGTTGGAGACTTTTGGGGTGGGGAGTGGTTTGAAGGAGAAATCCTCCCAGATGAGTAAGGCTACCCCACCTACCCCCTGCCCCCGAGTTTGGGACTGATGAAGGACTGAGAAACCTATGGAGGGGGGTCAGTTCTTGCAGTTGTGTGTGTGTGTGGCATTTTTGGGCAGGGAAATAGCAAGGGGGAATTGAACGAATCTCTACTCAGTCACAAGTATTTTTAGGACAGTGAGTTCCAGTCACAGAACGCCAATGACACAGCAACTTTCAGAGTGATCTTTTTTCATATATCTCAATGCTGATATGAATGTGGCATGGTCAGTATTATATAACATGCGCAATGTTTATTCGAACAAATACCTGCTCCACTTGTAGATGGAATGGTAGTAAACGTAAATGGTGGCAGTGTGGTGGTAAGTCCTGCGCATTTGTAGTCAGCTCGATGGATTGTTCCATTAACATCACAGGTTGCCGTTATGCACCAACCCAGACCATCTGTGGTGTTGTAAATGATTTCCTTGTAGATATATTCCCTTCCTTCGTAATGGCAGTAGCATGCTGAAATTTAGAGGAAGAAGGATGACTTTAGTCAGGCATCATCCTATGATACAGTTACTCAAGTTGCCATTCACAAATCTCTACCAATTACCTTGATCATTGAAGTTGCACTCTATCCCTTCACTGGTGCATGTACTGTAAGAAAACAACAACAACAATAAGACCTGTGAGAATGAAGATCCACAAAAAGTATATTCCTGCTTCTGCTTAGTTCCTTCTACAGCTTCATTTCACTGGGGATGGATTCTACAGAAGCAAGCAGAAGGTGCTTTTCTCCCCTCTTCCCCCGTAGCCCCCTGAAATCTCTGCAAAGCTGATGTTCAGAATCATCAGAGCCCTCTGGATAAAATGCCATGAGGCATAGTGCCACTGCTGTAAAGGAGAATCGGGTGACATTGTGCCCACTTCACTCTTGAGCCAATGGAGCTAGGGTTGTGCAAAAACAACAACAACAACCAAAAAAAAAACCCGGTATTTTTCGGGTTCAGATTATTGAACCCCCAAAATATAGGCATTTCCCAATATTCTCAAATCCCAATACCAGTATAGTATTTGGATTCAGTAAATATTCTGGAAAGCTGAATTTTTCTGGTTCCATTATGCCTCGTGGGGACCAATATAGTCAATGGTGCCCAAAAGCTATAATGGAGAATTGATCCGGGGATATCTGGGGCTCTGGGGGGAGGCTGTTTTTGAGGCAGAGGCACCAAATTTGCAGCATAGCTGCTGGTGCCTCTTCTAAAAAAACTCTCCAAGTTTAAAAGAGATTGGACCAGGGGTCCATTCTATGGGCCCCCAAAGAACGTGCCCCCCTCCCCCATTGCTTTCAATGGAGGAAAAAAGACATTTAAAGGGATTGGTCCCTTTAAATGCCTTCTCCAAGCATCATGACTTTGCAGCGAGAGTCCATAGGCGTTTAATGGGATCATAGTCCTCTTAAACAACTTCTCCAAATGGCGAGTTCACCCAAAAGGCATTTAAAGGGACAGCAAGCCCCTTAAACGCCTTCTGGGTGAACTCACCGTGGAGTTGCATAGCTTGGAGGAGGCATTTAAAGGGACCGCAATCCCTTTAAATGCTCTTTAGGTTTGGCTATCCTGTGAAATTCTGGAAAGCCAAAATTGAGCCCCTTCAGTAACTGGCTTAAAAATACCTGGGAAATACTGGTAAGATATTTTTAGGCCCCGGTCACACGAAAGAGTTTGGGCCGGGAGAGGGATGGATAGGGGGCGCAGCAAATGGGCACGCAGCAAATGGGCACAATCCCACGGCAACGTCTGGGAAGCGGTGCGCACCTGTCCCCGATCCGACCCTTCCGGCCGAAAATCCACTGTAAAAAACCCCCACCTCCCGAGCAGCGGCCGTTGGATCGCCCAAGCGTCCATCTTCTGGAGCAACTGAGGCTCCCAGCCGAACTGCGCATGTGCACGCATGCACAGCCAGCGGCCTCCCGCTCCGCTTGGTGGCTTCCTCCCCGGCATCTGATTGTGCTGGGGAGCAACGGCACGGCAGCTCAGGGGATCAATGGGATCCCGCCGCCGCGTGTTTCTTTTGGTGCGGCTCTGAATAGCCGCACTTTGCTCGTGTGTTTTTTCTTCCATGTGGCAGGGACCTTAGGATATTTTTTCAGCTCAGTTAAACTGAATGCACACCCCTAAGTGGAGCCTCTTGCATTGTGGAAACTCTGCCAAGGGCAGAACAAAAAGGTGCAACGTCAGCTGATTCTCTCTGTTCACTGCAGCTATGACTTTTGTTTATGGGGCTCCTGTGACTCTGAGCTCCAACTTTCTGGAGATCTCAGGAGGCTGCTAGAAAGCTGGGAAGCACTTTCTGCTCCTCATTGGTAGGATGCAGTCCACTGAGTGTAATTCTGTTGAAGCAGTTTTCAGCTGGAATGCACTTCCTAAATGCTAATACCTGCATAGATTAAAATAGCAATGCTTTTCTATATTTGGAGCACTCTCATGCTTATGCTCTTTGAATGACCACCTTCCAATATTACACATACACAGGGGTCATTTCCTGCAGGAGCGCACAGGAGCAGAGCTCCGGGAGTAAAGAGCCCAGGGGGCGGGCACATGCAACAAGCCCCACCCCCTGTCCTCAGTCAGAGCAAGAAGCAGCCAGGTAAGTTGCAGAGTCCCCCCCCCCTCCGGTCCAAGACAGTCCAGTGGCAGCTTTAAGACTAAGTTTTATTCAGGTACAAGCTCTCCCTCCTCTGCAAGGACAGATCTGCATATTCCCCCCCAAAAAAGCTAGCAATCCAAAACAGTCCAGTGGAGCCTGAGCGGTGGGTGTTGCCTTCTGACACACTTCCTGTGATGTCAGGGGGTGTGGCCTATGCAAATAAGTTATGCTAATGAGCTCCTGCATCTCTTTTTCTACGAAATGACCCCTGCACATACAATAACCTGTCTTGCACCAGTTTCTGGAACAAGTGTGTTTATCAACTGCTCTGTTTCGCTTGTGCTTATGTTTTGGTTATACTTAAATTTATCTTCATCTTGTTCCCTCTCAAAATATCCAACAACATTTCATTACCCGGATGGGTAAGTTTAAAGGAAGCAAATGGATATGTGTACCCAGTAACTGTATTTTAAAAACTGAGCCACAAAATCTCTCCCAAAGGCAGCACAGAAATGGTGATTAAGTAAAGATAGGTACTAGGAAAAGGACTGTTCTTAGTAAATAAATATGGTTGAAGCATAAATAAGGATATTCATTGAATTTGTTTGTTATTTTGGGTTGGATCAACCAGATTTTCTGCTGCTGAAAAAAAAAGTCCACTGAAGCAATCTTGTTCCCTCTCAAAATATCCAACAACATTTCATTACCCGGATGGGTAAGTTTAAAGGAAGCAAATGGATATGTGTAACCAGTAACTGTATTTTAAACTGTAACTGTATTCAGTCTCTATAAAATAGTGTTCCTATTATATTCTATAGTCTTGACAATGTAAGAGAATACCTGGTGCCCTCCTAATCTTGAACCATCTGACCACTTGTTTCTATAACCTTGAACCATCTGACCACTTGTTCTATACTCCCTTGCACACAGTAATCTAGATGAAGGCAATATATCCAATTCATTATTTTTGAATCCACAGATTCCTCTATTTAACAGAGGAACTCATGACATTTGCGCAATATTGAATGACATTTGCGCAATATTGGAAACAAGATAAAGTACCAGAAATATGGGACTGGATAAAAAAAATGCTTTTTATGGCTGAAATGGACAAATTGACAAAGAAACTCAATGGTAAAGAAGATGAAGAGTTTTACGAAGAATGGAAAGATTTTAAAGAATATGTTGAAACGATTTTAAAGAATATGCTGAAACAAAGTTGATAAGTTTGGACAGTTATTAGAATTGATTGTATTAGTTAAAAATACTTTGAGAAGCTTGGATTGCTATTAGAATTGATTTAACTAGTTGATAAATCTTGATAGTTATGGAACGGACTAGAAAGGAAAAGATAAGAAATTGAAATGCATGAAAGCACTGTTACCGGAAGGATGAATTTATATTAAGGTAAAATTTAGAACTAAAGAACAAGGGAGTATTAAAGGGGAAAATGCACTGTGGGAAGCCATGTAACGGGGTAGGGGAGTAAGAGAAAAAAATGGGTATAAATTAGAGTGTAATAGAGTGAAACTTTTGTATGTCTTTTTTTTATACCTGTTCAATAAAATGTTTGTTGTTGTTTTTTTTAAGTGATGCAAATATTATTTGTCAGCACTGAATACGCCTGAGCAACAAGCTGTAAAAGAAATCTATTTACAACTCAGATACAAAAATGTAAGGGAGAATAAGCTTATAAATGTTGGTCTTCAGGTACATAAGAACATAAGAGACGCCAATGTTGGATCAGGCCAAAGGCCCATCTAGTCCAACATTCTGTCACACAGTGACCAAAAATACCAGGCGCCATCAGGAGGTCCACCAGTGGGGCCAGGACATTAGAAGCCCTCCCACTGTTGGCCCCCCCAAGCACCAAGAAGACAGAGCATCACTTGCCCCAGAGCCCCTATCTATACCTTGTGGCTAATAGCCACTGATGGACCTCTGCTCCATATGCCTATCTAATTCCCTTTTGAAGCCGTCCATGCTTATAGCCGCCACCACCTCCTGTGGCAGTGAATTCCATGTGTGAATCACTCTTTGTTTTATTGCCTATGTAAAATCAACTTTAAAATATTGCTTTCACCAATTAACTTCTGGCCATTGTTTTTTGTCAATAGCTGATAACAGCAGGCCATCCTTGGAATAAACAGAATGGAAACTGGGAACGCGGAGCTAACCACAAACTCTGCTATATTAGTTTATCTTGATATTAATAGACTGTATACACGTACCATGACTGACATGTGTCTCTTAAGTCAAAGTGTGTTCCTGGTGGATAATAGTTATCCGCAGCATCATAGCAGCCACATTGGTCGACACATTTCATCTCCTCCTCATTGAAATAGGGCTTATCTGCTGGACAGTATGGGTAGCAGCCTGCAAATGGAGAAAGACACACACACACATGAAGGTGTAAAATAGATCTGTGCCCCAAAAAGCTGTTCCTTTCATTTCCTCCATACTCTTTAAAAAGAGAAGAAGTTGTGCTCATGAATTCTTTTGTGCAAACGCTGGGGCTTCCTCCTTTTTCGAATGCTTCCAAGTGCGATATTTCCATGTAAAGAAAAAGGGCAATGTTATCATGTTTTTACTGGTTCACAATTTAACGAAAAACAACGATGGCCGAATCTGCATCTAGCATTTGCTCCGCTGTCTTACCAAACCCACCCTGGAACAGAAATTCCCATCTGCATTGCATGCCACTTTCGCTTTGATCGATTCTCGAATTTTATGGCAGTGTCCAGACTGCATGCCACTTTCAGTTTGCTTGAGCTCTGGTTTTATGGTGGCTGTCCGCATAGATATATGGCCGTTTTGTGGCTATTCAGGGGTGACTCTGCAATCAGTACGGTGTTGGCCCGTGGTATTTGGTCGAATCTGCATTTGCATTTTTAAACCAGTTTTGTAGTGCTGTGACGCCGTCTTTCTCTACGCTTGTTTGAATGTTGTTTGGAAAAGATTCTTTTAAAGCAATGGAGAGGCGCAATGACAGCGGAGCAGCCACGGAAGGGCAATAAACATATGCAGATGTGCAAAAGGATGCTAGCACTGTTGAGGTGTGAAAACGAAACCAAATGTAGACAGTTTTTTTTAAGACGAAGGCTGGGACACCGGTGGGAAAGACAAATGCAGATTCAATCTCTGAATGTGGTTTTGAGCCGCATCTTTTTCTGTTCCAGTGTGGGTTTGGTACAACAACGGAGCAAATCCTAGATGCAGTAACAGCGACCAACACATTCAAACAGATTTGAGAACTTGCCTATAACATTTGAACGAGTCGCCAGATTATCAGGTTCATGGCTAAGATTCTACATTACTCCAAAAACTGATAGTCTTGTATGTATTACACTTTAGCTTAGAAGAAGGTTTCGGAACATGCGAAGCTTCCTTACGCATTTCTCAGATACAGAAAGTTCTTTCCCAACACTGCCTACCGGTATGCAAAGCATGTGCTCTGCCTCTGAGCCATGGGCCCTCCCCTGTTGGAAACCAAAGAAAATGAGCTTATGGGAAACAATTATTTCTCAGTCGGTGAGAATAAGGACAAGAAGTTGTTTTACCTTCCAGGCCAGGTAATTGATGAAGGCATCTGCCACTGGGGTTCCTACACGTCTTCATGCAGGGAGCTCCGCAGGGTTTGTAGTGCCAATCGCATTCTCTTTCAGCATTGTAATAATCACAGAACATAGCTAAGAGGAACCAGGGGGGAAATGTGTTTAGAACCAAATGCTCCAGTACGGATTCTTAGGCCACGTTCAGACTGGCAGTTTGCAGTGCTAGGGAGTCGCGTCAAAGAAGACCTGGAACAGACCCAAACGGCTTGGTTGCGGTATTCCCGTTCACACTGCAGCAAAAGAAGCGGGAGGATACCGTGGAGGAAGCGCAAGGGAGCGTTCGCACTGTTGGCCCGCCCCTGGTGGGCTGTTAGTGGCTGTTTCTGCGCTTCGCTGCATGCGCCTATGCGGATGGCCACATGGGCACCTGCTGCGGAAACAGCCAGCGCCTATTATCAACGACTGCGGGTTGTTCCCGCCTTAGCAGCGCTTGCGTTCACACGTCAGGGAACCGGAATCAACCTGCTCTCCACACAGCTTGCTACCACTTCCACCAGGTACTTTTAAAACTCGGGAGGGAAGCGGTACAAGACGGCTTGAGTATGGCCGGGGGACGCCCCACAGCTGTGCCTGTGTGAACCCGCCCCTTTACTCTGCTAGTGAAACGCTCCTGAAACGTTTGGCTGTCAGGTCAAACTGCCAGTCTGAATGCGGCCATAGTACCGCCAATGTCATTTTCATTGTCAGTTACAGTGTAGGCTAATACTCACGGCAAATTGAGGGTGTTCTCCAGGATATGCACACGCCAAATTCACTACATGCCTGAGCATAGGCAGCCACAGCCGTGCAGAAACATTCGCAATCTCCCCCAGTATCACAAGCACAGGCATCTATCACACACGCTTCATAGTATTTAGTTGGTTCAACCTATAAAGAAATTTAGAACAATCCAAAATATGGGACTTCTTTTTATACGAAACTGTTTCAATTCATAATACTACAGACCAAAATGAGTGTGAACTGTACAATCCAATAGGGAAATGGTATCCCATAATAGACAAACTTACCTTTGACAAATTTGATTGGGAATCTATTACAAAAGCTAAGTACAAACTATTGTGATATGGCTAAACACTGTAAAAAAAATGTTTATTTCATTGTTATATACGTAAATGGAAAATACCTGAGTGTATTCAACTTGTAACAAAGAAACCTTTGTATTAATGTTACATTTATATGTTAAAAATAATTAAAAAAATGTTTTGGCTTAAAAAAAAAAGAAATTTAGAACAGCGGCTATGAGACTTGGGATTTCCTAACCATGCCTGACCAATGATGACAGATGTTATGCAGAAATAACATTTCAAATGTCATCTTATTGTATCTGCAACTGCTGAGGGAGACATTAAACTACCTGAAGTCAAATAAAAGGTCCTAACTCAATGGTTAGACAGTGTCATCGATGCAACGAACATGAAGTTGAGCAAACTTCAGAGGACAGCGGAAGACCGGAAGGCCTGGCGAGAGCTGGTCCATAGCGTCGCAAAGAGTCGGACTCGACTGTGCGACTGAACAACAACAACAAACTCAATGAAGATGTAGATAGACCCAACTTAGACATGTCTGAGCACAGAAAAAGGCTCTGCATCTGCTGCCCTGTTCAATCAGACACTGATTTGACTGAGTTCAGTGTCCCGTCCCTACTCTAATGGCTGATCGGAACTGACAGAGCTGATGATTTGTTCAGAGATGTGCAGGAAAAACACAAGCATAAACCCGGGTCCAGGATCCACACACCCCCAACCAATGTTCCCTCTAAGCTGCGGAGTCCTGTGAGCAAAAATTCCACTTTGTGATGCTACTGGCATTAAAGTTGTGAGCGAGCCATTTGGCTACTGCATAAATCAGTTTGCTCTGGAGCCCCATCCTTCCTGAGCTCAGACCAGAATGTGTGAGCCGGAGGCTAAAGAACTGTGAGCTAGCTCACACTAACTCAGCTTAGAGGGAACACTGCCCCCAACACACAACTGGGATCATGCAGCTAAGAGACGGAGCATCTGCTCTGTATGCTGAACACTCCAGGTTCAGTCCCCAGCATTTCCAGTTAAAAGTCAGCTACTAGGTG